TTCACCTTGCTGAGGGTCGTTCATTTTTTGCTTCCTTATATGCTGTTTCCAAAACATCCACACTTTCGCAGTTCAGATGGATTGAGCACTGATGGTGTGGTCCAGGTTTATCACCTGGTGTGGGAGATGCTAAGAAGTTTGGCAACTTGTCTACTGCCACTGTTAAAAAAAAAGAAAGAAAGAAAGAAAGAAAGAAAGAAAGAAAGAAAGAAAGAAAGAAAGAAAGAAAAAAGAGATCACAACAGGTAAAATGACATGGAATCAGTGTATGTGCTTCATTTTCATTCATTTTCTTAATAAACTTCAAATTTTGGTCGAGCGTGCAGAAGACACTGGAAGCCTAACAACTGTTGAGACCCAATTTCTTCATAGGATTAAACATCTGATACAAAACCCACCAAAACAAACCATTTTTCCAAAGATGACTAAAAGATGTACGTTTTTACCTCAGTATATTATATTGCCAGTCTTAACTTTAAGTTCTGATTGATGAAAGACTCACCGTTGATCTTGGTAACAGGTGAAGTGTAGTCGATCTGGTCTACTGCTTTGATGAATTCTGAAGAAAGAGCAGACTGTAGTGATACAAGAGGTCAGAATAAGGGACTTTGTTCAGAGCTTTGCTTAGAAATGATGTTCAGTTTTCTGAGTTACCTGTGGTGTCAGGTTTTTGAAGGTAATATATGGGGTAGCATTTGATAAAACAACTTTACTGTGGATTTCTGTGCCGTCCTTTAGCACCACACCCTTAGCATCACCATCTGAACCAACCAGGATCTGGCTTACATCCTGCCAAAGATAAATGCAAGAAGTTAGGGAAGCTAGAACATAATTTCCCATGAATCCATGAAATAAACAACATCAAATCAATGTGATTACCTTTTCTGTAAAGATGTCAACACCATAAGATCGAGCAGCACTAGCAATAGCCTGAGACACACCTCCCATGCCTCCTTCTACATAACCCCAGGCACCCTTTTCCTTCTCCACCTCTCCCATCACATGGTGCAAGAGAACATACCTGCAAGTCAAAACCATCAAGTCACTTGTAATTCTGTCCAGCTAGATCTAAGATTACGAGAGTTTGGTTGTCATAGGCTGCTGTAAAATGTGTCTCACCCACTGCCAGGATTACTAGGACTGGTCATGGCTCCTATTACACCATCAGTAGCCAGAGTGGCTCTCAGTGGCTCAGAATCAAACCACTGAGTGAGAATCTTTCACACAAAATACACGTTATCTATGCAATCTAAAAATAAGAGGTACTAACGTCTTTGTTTAATCGCTAACCAACCTTCATTATTGGAGCAGTTACGATTTCATAGAAGTCTGGAAGGTTTTTGCCCAGTTTTAGACCTTTGGATTAAGAGCCAGAAATATTAATGACTAAATTAATGCAGTGTACAAATTAAGTACTTGCTAAATTTGGAGAATAAAAAATGTTTAAAAAATAAATAAACCAACCCACCACATCTGAAGATGGGCATCAGTGTTTTAGCTGCAGCCACCCTGCGTCTCAGTGATCCAGAAGTGAAACCTGGAATATCTACAGGTGGAGCATCCAGGAGAGGGTTCATAGCATCTGCTAGCCTCTCCAAGTGTGCAACAAATTCAGGATAAGCCTGTATGTATGTTGAGGAATAGGTGAAGATGTAGGTAAGCAAAGGTGTGTGGGATTGTATCACATAGAAATAAAGGTCCAACAAAGCAAAGAACATTTTTTTGGATCAACCTAAATGAACAATTACTTATTATGTTTATTTTCAAACCTAAATCACCTTAGCATCCTTCTGTGAGAACTTGCTGATCTCCATCTGGTTGGTGGCCAGATCTGAGCCCAGAGTGAGAGAACGTGGAGGAGCACCTCTCACCCCTTCCTCCAACATGGGGGTGAAGGCATGAGGGTCTCTCATATACACCTTCAGCCCATGTTTCTGAATTTGTAGAAAAAGGGGAAAAAAATGATGAACTGCAGCAAGGCTAAGGACTGACATTATCTCATGATATCTAGAATCTTTCTTTGTGATTCTGGTTTTGTGTACCTTGAGCTCCAGGTCTCTGTATATGTGCGGTCTTAACAAACTGAGCAAGTAGGAACACCTAGAGAAGCGGAAACCTGCAAACCAATGTAATTTCTCTTAGAGGAGTAAAATTTTAGGTTACTTGCATAACCTACGGTTCCCAGAGTAGCATGAGTGCGATATCTCACTACGGGATGCACCTCCCTGCATGAAGCATGTCTCTTCTGTATCTCTACCAATCCTGATTGGCTGGTGATTGTAACGACCACGTCGGGCATAGCCTCCCACCTTTAAATAGGTTGCGCTATTAGATAGTCATTATTTAAGATAAGCACCTCTTCTTGCTTTGCCCCAGCACGAAAGGTTGCCTGGTAAGACGACTCACTCATGCTACTTTGAGAACTGGGGTTACGCAAGTAACCTAACGTTCTCTTTTCAAGCATTTGTTTCGATGTGTCACCATGGGAAATGGAGACTCCCGTATTGCCAGACAATAGTTATCTACT